ATAAAAAGCTATTCCAGTCTGACAAATACGCCAACGATATGAGAAATCCTATAAGGGTAAAAACGTCACTGCTCATTTCTATAGCACCTTTTCTTCTTTTGTTTCTACATTTCCTCCATCGGGCTTGTTGATAATCACATGACCACTAGGTGTGCAATATATGTATGTGTGTACTGCTGATTTTATTTTTATATGGAGCCAGATATACTATAAATGTATTTATACAGAACAGAGGAGGCCACGTTGAACCCTATAGAGAGATACAGTTTTATTTCTACTTATTTATTATAGGTGAGGAAAGGTTACCACTACAAAAACACACACATACAGTAGAAAGAGGTCAAAACTATTTATTTTAACTTTGAATTAACTTTTAGCACAGGTCATGCTTTATGTATATGGGAAATCCAGGCCGAGCAGCGTTTTAATGTATTCTTCTCGGTGGTTTTGAAAGGAGTCTTGAGAAAGTCGGGTCACGGCTGATAAAATGTTTTTGTGTTGGTAAGAAAGCGAGAAGCTGACGCGGATTTGCTAAAGCTACGGACGCCTCTTTGTGGAGATGTCACTGTAGCTTTCACCCACGGAAGGCGTGGACAGAGGAGGGGAGAGCGGAGGCAGCCATGTTATAATAGTATTACCCAGGGCAGCTGCGGCTCGGACAAATTTTAATCGTAAATATTAAGCATTGGTTTTTGGCCTTAAAACAAACCCGGTCTGTTAAAATATATATAAACATGTATAAAGCAGTAAAAAAGGCTTGAAAGTGGCAAAACAGCTCCATCTACTGGTCGAATAGGGAGATTGCATTCTTGTATTATACAGTAGTAATAACTGTAAGGAGAAATGAGTTTTGACGGATGTCTTTGCTTTAAATCTAGCAAGAGGAGACATATTCTAGTGTTAAAAATAATCTAAAAACAACTGATTACCTTAAATGTAAGATTAGGAGGAAAATAACATAATCAAATGTTTTAAAATGGTCTCTTTTGACCTAAACAAAACATAAGTCATTTATCCCATAAGGGTAATTAAATTAAATCAGTAGCCAATACAGAACAGGCAAGGCAAGTGTATTTGTATAGCACAATTAATACACAAGGCAACTCAAAAGTGCTAAAAATAACAGATAAAAACAACAAAAAAAAATCATTGATTAAGAAGAGAAAGACATTAAGACAATACATCATAAATCATTGTCGAGAATCCATTATAATAATCTATAATCCCAGTAGTTGTGCTGTCATCGGGTCCAATGTGATTAAAAGTAGACAAAAAATACCCTAAATTATTTATTTTCAAGCTGAATTCGGATTGCTTTTCCTGACTTGACCGGCCCTGGGTCATTTGTCGACCCTTCAGACCAACATTTAAGGTTTTTTTTTTCTTTTCACGTTTACTCACCGTGGCTCAAGGACAGCACAATGGTTAGAAAGTGTTCATTGTAGAAGCTGACAGTGACGCGGACAAAAGATTTCTGTCTGTAGCGTACAGTATGCGAATGAGGCCTCTCTCTCCCTGTCTTTTGTGAAACCTATGGTAGAATCGTGAACAAGAGATTTTAGCGATTTCGACATAATATTCACCCATTATCATTTTAAAAGTATGTTACATTAAACAGAGATTGTGTGTGTGTATATGCGGGTTTGAGAAATTCACTTTGGCCGTTTCTGGTTGCTCCCCGCCTCTGCCAGTCTTTCCCCATTCACAGAGAAGAGGCGGAAAAGGCCGGAAAAGTCAGCGGAACGACTTGTACTGTAATAATACCATGCTCTATGTGACTTTTTTGATGTTGTGATTTCGTCCACTCTTTCTTCTACTCACTGTAAAACTTGAGAGAATAAAAGTCTTTCCCCCTGTGTCGCGTGCAAAATCCTAGCGCTTTTTTTTTTTTCGTCGTCCTGTGTTTTTTTTTTTTTGTTTCCCGTGGGTGGTTGTCAGTGCGATTTCACATGTTTTCCGGAGCGAGAATGCATGCCTTATAAGTTTGGAACGGAGCGAGAGATGGTCACACGTTTTTCCTTATTTTTATTGTCATTTCTTCTAGATTTGTGAAAGACATGCCAGTGTAACTCATTAAATCATTTTGTTGTGGAGAAATACATGTGTGTTTTGTTTAAAAATAAACAAATAATGGGAATTTTTTTATTAATTGTATGCTCGACCTTCCACATTGAATTTGGAGACGATGTTAGCAATATTTTTTTAATCAGTTAATCTAATTCATGGCAAAATAAATGGTGCTTGTTACTGCTTATAACACTGGGTAACAAAAAAAGATTTTTTGAAAATAGTCCAGGGTTTTCCAGCTGAATTAGACTAATTTTGATGCTCTGAGTCCGAAAATGACCTTGTTTTTGCTCAATCAGGTCAGGATTTTTTGCTACAGAAATATTTTTTTTAATTTCTGCGGATCATCAGCTGAGAAACCCTTGACGTTTTTTCCGTTTTCCTCAAGAAATAAAAGTCAACAAATCCAAAGTCATTCAGTTTTTATTTACTCCATAAAATTTGATAAGCAGAATTCATAATAACGTAGACGTACATAATCCGTAACACTATGGCTGTATCTCAAAAAGTTGACCTGATAGAGCAAAATGCATGTGATATTCGGACTCAGAACACCAACATTAGTCTGAATCAGTTGAGAAACCCCTGAGCATTTTTTGGCTGTCAACTTGTGTAATTCACAAAGAACCGGTTTGAACGGTCGGCCACTTTTGTCCATTATTCACCGGACAAACCGTTAGCTTAGTCCAGGCTGCTACCAGAAAAGAGACCCGTATAAATGAGGTTATACAATAATTTAACCGTAGCAATACAGTATTTCTTTTATTATTATTGGCTGATGATGGTTAGATGTTGAGTATGAGGTCGAGAGATGAACATAATTAAACGTTCTGAAAAGGTTTGATTGAAAATGTATCGTTTATGATGATTAAATGACAGTGAAGTGCCGGCCTATTGTCACTCGAGGCCTTCGGAGCCTCCATGGACAAAATGAAGAGGAAGAAGCGGATGATAGAACCGAGAGAGCAAAAATTTAACATTTATCAGTCGCTTTTAAGACTAAAAAAATCTACGTTTTGGTTCTTGTTCTACTGTTTTAATAAATAATTTGTATTATTTGTATATTTGTATCGATGGATCTGCTTGGACTGACTATAATGTAGAAATGCGTGTATTCTGTTTTTCACGGACCAATACTAATTATAGCCAGAAATAAGAGATAAATAACAATAATAATACAATAATACTTAAAAGGAGAAATCTGGGACCAAATGTGGAATGACTGGTGTGTAATAAACATGTATAAAAATTCTAAAAGGCTAACGTTTTAATGAAGTTCAGGTTTAGCCGCTGAAATTAGGATTTTTCTTGTTTTGCATGTTCTGTCCAAATACACTTGGCCAACTGTTTAACATGATTATTGTTCCTATTTCTGCCCAAATTTAATGAAAAAACTTAAATTTATGCCAAACGACTGAATCCTGTAAGAACCTGAAAGTATAACTAAATGAATGGAAAATCTAATTAAAAGGGTTAGGAATATGAATAATGTTTATATTGTGTGTGTAAAGTTGCCATTGAAAAAGCAGGTGAATTTAGATAAACTTTTTACAACAAAATCAGTGTTGAGGCAGAATTGTCTAAAGAGACTTAATTTAAGGCAAGTAATGAGGTTAGAAAAACGACAAATAAAAAGACATTTGAAGCGTCTTTGAGTGTCCAAAAAAGTACTATTTAAAAGTAAACCGATGCATTATTATTATTATTATTATTATCAAATTACTTCAACACTAAAAGGCATCTGGTCTGTCCCAATGTAACTGCTGTGTCCATATCAAATAAATACCAACCCAAACTACCAAAATACCAAAATCAATCATTTTCAATTATTTACCTTTTCCACTTTTTGGCCTCATTCCTCAACAGATTAAAAAATTCTCGCCTTTTTCAACTTGTAGAAATGAAAAAGCATTGATGAATGAGTCAAAAACGAGGTCATGCTTTGTTATTATCAAAGTATTGTACAGAAAACGAGGCGGTTTTCTTGTTGAATGAAGAGATTGTGTGATTACCTTCAGTCTAACTACATTTAGAAAGGGATTTTTAGGAAAGGAAGTCATACGGCAACACATGAGGATAGTTGGAGAGATGAGCAGGTTTTTGGTATGAATGCAAATGCGGCTAAACAAAAGAATCCCGTTCACTCCTCGGTGGAAAAAAACTGCTTTGATGCAACTAGAGCTGAGGCCAAATTCTCAATCTCTGACGGACAACGATCGTGTAGCTCTAACAACGAGAAGTATTCTGTCTCCGAAATGTGTTTTTAGGAGAAAGAAAAGAGCCGGTACAATGTTTTTCTCGAATATGCAACCCTTCCCACGGTTTTCACATGTTGAATTTCAATGAGAAACGGAAAAAAGAGAAGAAAAAGAAAAAAATTGAAATGGATCTTTGTAAAATAAGGGGGAAAAAACTATTCATCTCCATATCACTCAGCCTTAGATGCTACCGTCTTTTGTCACATGTGATAGAGATATATTGATGTCTGAATGATAATGTAATTGCTATGTAATTGTTATGGAGATGAGGCATTAGAATTTCAACGCCAGTCAAAGAACACAAAGTGACATCCGTGGCTTCGATTCTACATCTGTGTGAATTTGCTTAAGACTTGAACCTCAACCAGGACATTTAACACTCACATCTCAACACATTTCTGATGCATTGTTAATTTATTGTGTGCATATAATTAAGTATAAAGTCGATTTATGCTGATTTATGCTAATACCGCCCCAATAATGATTCATAATGATTTGTCTAAATATTGATTGACAACATGTTTATGGCACTTTTGGCATTCCACATCCCATTTTTATGTATTATTCCAATGCAAAAAGCGAGCTCAACAATAGCCTGTCTCACTTCCCATGTTTCTTTGTTGGGATTAGCAGCAGAGAAAGTGTGTGGGTGTTTCTGTTGCAGAGATAGTTTGCATGCAGCCAGCTGGCACAGTGCAGGTATTTGTCCTACTTTCAGTCTGGGTGTGATCGAGGGCTGCAAAATAGAAGCAAAGGAACCCGCCTGGCAGTATTTATGCACGGCTGTGGAGGTATAGGCAGTAAGACGCAGTAGCAGCAGCAGCAGCAGCAGCAGCAGCAGCAGCAGTAGCAGTAGCAGCAGTAGCAGCAGCAGTAGCAGCAGCAGCAGCAGTGCCCAATGCGTGGCGTGGGTCTGGCTGTCTGTCTCTTGTCTGGCCGTCTACTGTTTGTCTGCAGCTCAGGTTAGATCACCGAGGGCTTCCTGCTGCTGCACCAATCTGCCTGGAATACACCGAAGACTGGGGCTTGACACTGCGGGTAAGCAACGCACATAGCACATTTATAACACCTTACGAATCCAGCGCACAATGCACGCGCCGCTACGTGCTCGGAACATCAAAGAACTGGCGGCATGCTAACTTTGATACTTGGCAAGCCGACAGCCACGGCTAGTCAGCATTGTAGCCGCAGCTAGCATCGCTTCTCCGCGGCGTGGCTGGAAGAAAGAAAACAACGCAAATAAAAGGTTACGCAACGTGCCAGCTGGGGTGACAAGCTTGTAATGAGTCAGGGGTGTGTTTTTTGCCCATGCCGTGTTGTTTGCATGGATAAACCCAGATGTTTTTGGCAGATTTCCGTGCGCGCGCGTATGCTAATGTTGCTAATGTCAACAAGCTAGCGTTAGCCGCTGCTAGCCATCAGCGTTTTTTCTGTCTATTTGTGCGTTAAATTGTGAATTGGAGGTGACAGCGTGAACGGAGGAGGCAGTGGTGGTTCTGCCCTGTGGTTTTACCTTCACGTCGGGGTCTCTGGGTTTGTTATAGAGGCGTCATGTGCGGTGTATTAGGGGACCACCCACAGCGCTCCGGACTGACCCACGCTGCACAGGTGGGTCAGGTGATGCACGCTTGTCTCCGAGTGCAGAGGAGAGACCGCAGGGGGAAAACTCACCATGTCCAAATGTCCACAACGCATTCATTCTACACTGCGGGTTTCAGGCCTTTTTTATTGTCGTTTTGCCAATGGACAAAGCGCAACATCTGCCAGAGGATGAGATTGACATGATGCAAGGCTTAGATTGAGTCGAATCTTGCAAAGCTTAGTTGGAAAATGAAAAAAGTACGACTATGAAATTAGTTAGAACTGTGTATATGGGCGGCATGGTGGCTGAGTGGATAGCATTCTCGCTTCTCAGCAAGAAGGTCCTGGGTTTGAATCCCGGTCGGACCAGGGCCTTTCTGAGTGGAGTTTGCATGTTCTCCCCGTGTCTGCGTAGGTTTCCTCCGGGTACTCCGGTTTCCCCTACCACTAAAAATATGTCCAATAGTTCTGGCATGTGCCTCCTGTACTGGCAACCCCGCTCCCATCTCTGTGTGGAGTGAGAGACAAATGCCCAAAATTAACAATTGTAAACCGCTTTGAGACTCAGATCTGCAGTGAAAAGGCGGTATATAAATAAAGATTACTTACTACTACTACTACTATATAAGGCAAGGGACGTTTATTTCTTATAGTTCATACACAGAGCAACTCAAAGTGCTGATCAAAACAAGATGGAAACAATACAAGGCATTCAAATCATAAATAATCCCTCAGTTGTCTGCACAGATTAACGAAACTCTTTTTAGGTAATTAGCACTGCAAGCTTCTTTACATTTTTTAACTTATTAAAACAGCCATCTAAGCCCTGAACTTTTTTACATTTGTTAAACAGAACTGTTTTAAACCTGGATTTGTAGTTCCTTTTGAAAGCAGGGCTGCATGACATTAGTACAATAGTAGTGTCAAAGACTCTAGGACCGCAATATCGATTCAATTTATTTTTGTGTAGTCCGAAATCACAACAGCAGGAGTTTACTTAGTTGTCGATTCACCAACAACAGATCAGAGAATTAAACAGAAACACAGGAAAAGCAATGATAGCAAACACATAGAAGCCATTGGTTCATATGGAGCAGAATGACCAACAACCCTTTAATGGTTTCTTCAACAATTTGGTGGATCACTTTTTATGTCACTAAATCTACTTGAAGCTTGGAACTGAAATCTACCTCTTTGGGGCATCAACACCTGGTTTTAGGCACTTTTACCATCAAACTATCTCTCAACCATTTGGTAAAGGCCTATAATTAAAAACTAGGGGTTAAAAAAATGTATTGGTTTTATATAGCGCTTTTTTGGACACACAAAAAATTTCACATATTATTCTTTCACTCTGTAAGCTGTGATAAACTACTACTGTAGCCACAGCTGCCCCGGGGCACACTGACAGAAGCGAGCAATCCAGTCTGTGCCATCGACCCCTCCCACCGCCACCAACCACTACACAAAAACATATTAAATTAAATAATTTCTAGTTGCCGTATCAAGTTGCTAACACCGTACTAACGTTGCAGAGACTATCCGAGTAATTGTGGCCTAATTAAGTCATAAACATGTCACAATCATGCCGTCAATTGCAATCAAAGCTTAACAGTATTCTCGCACGCTGAGACCTCCTCTACTGCGCAAATTAGAATAAGAGAATACATTAGGCACAACCTACTTTAACTAATGCATAACTGTGATGTGCAGACAGCCCGGGTTCACACTGTGCTCCCTCCGCACACTGTAAAGCTGCATAATGTTTCATAATTGAAGCAAATTTGCAAATTGAGTTAGCGCAAATATCAAATTACAAAGACTGCAGTGTTTTTTTCATCAATCAGTGTTCTCTGAAATGTTAATCCTCTCAGGAGTTGTTACATTACACACTGTTAAGAGAAAATCAGGATGTATTAGGAGATACTTTATTGGTCGCACAGTGGGGAAATTTCAGTGTTGCATCACCACGGAGCAGTAGGAATGAGGAGCACACTGCACAAGATAAATTAACAATAAATTTATACTTTCAAAATATAATCTCTAACTTAAGCATAATAACGATTCGAAGCAAGTTTCAAATACTGTATATTCTAGTGCAGGGGTCTCCCACCTGTGGCTCGGGAGCTACCAGTAGCTCGCCAGCCCCTTTTTCAGGTAGCTTCCCAAAGGATTCAAGAATTTACCACATTTTCACTTTTGAGTCATTCCATATGTATCTATTTTAACTCTAAATCTTTTCATTTTTGCATGGATACTGTACGGTATAATGGTATATTTTGCAAAGTGTTCTCCTGCTATTGTATTGACTGGAAGGGGTAGCTCTCTGCCATTTCTGTTGTATAGAAGTAGCTCTCCAATCGATGATGGTTGGAGATCTTTCATTTAGTGCTTACTTACTAACATGTGGTATCTGACAAGCCACTCATGACATGTTGGGCTTAAACTTTAATAATGATCCAGATGTCATAGATTGTTAATTGTTTGAACATTTGCTGTTAAAACCACAGTTACACACAGACAACATGTGATTGCTGACAGAAACATCACAGAGAATCACCACCATTCGTACAAAGGTATACAATTCAAATGGATGGATGGATGGATGGATGGATGGAATATGTTGAATTCATATTATTTTAATTGTATTCAAAGTTATTGTGGGAGCAGAAAGGAACAAGGGTCTGAGATGGACGTGAGCAAAAATTGTCTTTGTTTCTGTCTTTGCCATTTTAGTGTTATGTTCTTTGTCTGTGGCTATGTATGTACCTGTAGTTTTGTAGCAAGGACCCCTGAATTGAATGAAATGAAGCCAAGCCACTCAAAAAAACGAGATCTTTTTCAAATCTCTAACCCATCTGTTCTGTCTCCGCAGGTTCCTGAAGCCGCTCTCTCTCACCGGCGTCTTCTCTCCTCGCGCCTCATGGCTGTGTGAACGGACAGGGCTCACCGTGGCCCATGCTCTGGACCTGTTTCCCTCCCTGCCCTCCTGCTCCCTCAAGCTGACGCAGAACCCCAGACACCTCCCTCCCCTCCCCCACCCTATCTCCCACCCGGTCCCCGGCGACTCCCCGCCGCCCCAGCCCGCCCCCCACGCGGCTATGGCCCCCGGCACGGAGACGGTGCACTACATTCATCTACACAACTCCAGCCAGTCCGTGTTGGAAGCTCTCCGGACGCAGCGGCGCGAGGGCCTCTTCTGCGACGTCACCGTGCGCATCCACGACTCTTCGCTCCGAGCTCACGCCTGCGTTCTCGCCGCCGGGAGCCCGTTTTTCCAAGACAAGCTTCTCCTGGGTCATTCCGAGATCTCCGTCCCGCCGCTGGTCCCCGCGGAGACCGTCAAGCAGCTGGTGGATTTCATGTACAGCGGTTCTCTGGTCGTACTCCAGTCTCAGGCTCTGTGCATCCTCACCGCCGCTAGCATCCTACAAATAAAAACGGTGATCGACGAGTGCACGCAGATTATCTCGCAGAGGAAGGCTGCGGCGGGGGCGGCGGCAGCAGCGGCGGCGGCGGCAGCGAGCGGAGCGGGAGGAGCCATGTTGGGAGGGATCCTGCCCAAGCAAGAGGACCGGGGAGGAGGGAAGGGGCGGGACAGCAGCGGGAGTTGCTCCGGGAATCCTGGAGGTTATCCCAACTTCTCCAACTTCATGGCGGACTGCGCGAGCAACATGTCGGGGATGGGGAACGGCGTGAACGTGTCGGAGAGCGGCGCCATGGAGCAGCAGCAGATGATGCTCGGGGACATGGGTCCTGGGGGCATGTGTGCGGGGGACGGACTGGGATCAGGGCAGATGATGATGAAGCAGAGCCCCACCTGCACTCAGGACGTCCGGTGAGTGCACTTTACTAGATACACTTGCATATGTTTAATATTTCAAAATTAAACTAAACTAAGATAGACTTTATTGATCTCACACTGGAGAAATTTACATGTCACATTTGCTTAACTTATCTTATGCTCACAAATGTATAAGTGTTTGCAGTGTTTTGTGTGTGTGTGTGTGTGTGTGTGTGTGTGTGTGCATGCGCAAACTATATTTGTGTAATCAAAGGTCCGTATCTTGTTTGTTTTGTTCTGCTGTATGAAAAATATAAGTTTGAAATAAACACTTACTTACAAATAAAAAAATAAAAACAGCAGTACACAGTTTGAAAATGGATTCGACAAAAAAAAGGTTTATTTGTATAGCAGTTCATACACAAGACAGTTCAAAGTGCTTAACCAAACAAGATGGAAACGGTCACACAAGGCGTTAAAATCATAAATAAATAAATTAAGAGTGCAGATAAAATAACACAAAATACATATACTTAATTCAGTTAATTTCTGTATTAATCACAGCAGCTGCAGAATAGGAGCCATTGTTCCGTAGGGCGCATAAATGTTAACAAATGTCCTGGAACAACTCAAAAAAAAAAAACTTTGGGAAAACCGGGAGAACCTGGGATCCATCTCTCAAACTAGGGCTGCACGATATATCGAAAAAAATTATTGTTATCGCGATATTGGTGCAAATATCCCTGATAAAAAATATGTTCCTTAAACAAAACAGACACATCAACATTCAACAAGAACAACAAACAAACAGACAAAAAGTATATAAATAAATATACATTTGAATGTCATTCATGTTTTTGTTATCTGTCTCTTGCGTTTCAATGCACGTTGCAATTTTAGGCGAAAGACAAAAATATCACAATATCGTTATCACAATACTAAACACTCATATCATTTCTTTCATGATTCAATTAATTATTTTATCCATCAATAAAAAGTAAACAAATAATGTACAGATCTTTTAAAGCTTTGGTTTTGTGTAACGTAAACCTCCCTGAAGAATTTTAGAAACTAATATTAAGGTGTATCTTACCTTATCAGGCTCTTCTATGACAGCTATAGATTGTGTTTTAGATTAGACATTTAGCCCCTTCATCCTGCAAAGCATTATTGGATTGCACAAGTATACAATTTTTTTAAGCTTTACTTGAAAATAAAACCAAATACAATCTCTGTAGAATGTTCATATTGATTTTATTGGATGTAAAACAGATTATGTAAGATTTTTACTAAAGTATGCAGGTTAAAAGGCATTTTTGTTTGTTCACTTTAATGTTACACATGACACTTTATCCTTGTATTTTTTACCAATATATCAATAGTCGCTGCATCGTCATATCGTGAGCTTTGTATCGTATCGTGAGGTGCCCTGAGGGTTCCCACCCCTAGTTGGTTTTTACTTTTGAAACTGAAGCATTTTAGCAGCAGAAGGTTAGATTTTGTTAGTAAAGTTTATGTCAGATACACAATACCTGCATTTTTAGTCCATTAATTAATTAATTGGGCAAGTCTTTAGTCATCCAAGCATTTATTTGACTGTCTCCAGCCCTATTGTTATCAGTACTTGTTCATTTCCTCAGGTGAATAGTAATTTCTTCTGCTCAATGAGGCTGAACAGTTTGTCTGAAGCCAAAGCTAATTATAAACTGGTCTTAAACTGCTGTCAATTATGAAAAATGCACCTATAAATTGATGCTAGAATCACGTTATTGCAGTAGAGCTCTGAACCAGCGTGTGATTTAAAGCTGGAGAAAATATCCATACGTATTTTTTTGTCTTTTCAGTTTCTATGGGTTTTTTTTCACAACACAAGAGATGAATGGAAGAAACGAGGGTTGAGACGATTCAGATTTTGTTTGGGGAGAGAGAGCTGCAGGGCTGGAGGTGTGTTGCACTGAGACCTATAATTTTAAATGGACCAGATGTGGGTTTGTCTGATGTGGATCTGAACGTTCACATTCACATCTCTGTCAGCGACGAGGAGGAACTTGGCCATTAGAAGATTTCAATACTAAATGATATAGAACACACAACATGCATCTGTCGTCTGTGTGGCGATAAGATATAAAACCCATGGATCATTATTAAATATTTAGTGAATTTGGAATCTCAATGGGACTTGGAACAGTTTTAAATGAGTTTTGCTAAGTTCAGTCCGGCCTTTTTTTCTCTGCCCCGTTTCACCGATGGCCCCACTCATCTTAAGGTCCCACAGACTGAAGATGAGTGAATCTAAGGACTCACAAGTTGCAAAAATATAATTGTATTAGTAATTACTGCTGCGCAATTGTAGACTGTAAAAATATGGACAATGCTAACTTGATATAGCCCAAAACAGAAGTTCTCATGGAAAAAAGTTTTGGTCCAGCTCTCTCTGGCTCCTATTGACTCACATTGAAAAGTAAACTCCTCTATCTCAGTAACTGTTTGTGTCACACTCATTTTGGGCCTAAAAATCCATGGTTTAGCGCTCACTATGATCCTGTGTTTGAATTGTGATATTGTCTTTGTAAATCCAGATATGAGCCACATAAGGATTGACCAATGAGATGTCTGGATTTGCGAGAGAAACTCCAGCTTGCCTTAGCAACCATGTTAGCAACATGTCTGCCTTTGTTTCAGCGCAAGAGCTAATCTTGTCGCCCCAAAAGCCCATATAAGGAAATTGGCTCCAGCTATCTTAAGTCCAAATCGGCAAACACTATGATCTATTGCTAATATACAGTCTATGAGCACAATGAGTACAATATTCCTTCTTTAACTGAACCCTATCACAATGTCTAGCGATAAATTTCCCATGTTGCTCTGCAGAACACTTAAAAATTCCATTAGTTTGAACAACAATCTCACTTTCAATGTGATACCAGTGTTTCCTGATGCTCTCCTTCGCTGCAGAAGTTGCGTGCGTCAGTGATGTGAACTTGGAATGAGACGCTTTCAGATGTTGAGTGGCACAGTTCACCTTCTGCTGGAGCCACTGCTGCAGTAGATGACTCATAGAAACATGTACCAACAGAGGAAAAAACTGACTTTTATCAAAACAGCCAAATGTATGTGTCATCCGCTGAAATTTGTCTCATTATACGGGTTAAGTCTAAACGAGCCTGTCTGTCAAACACCAACTGTACAGGATTATAATGGCTTGAAACGGTATTCATGCTTTTATCTGGCGGCGGAGTGGTTGGCAATCTCGTTTCTCAGCAAGAAGGTCCTGGGTTTGAGTCGAGTGTCCTGTGTCTGTGTAGGTTTTCTCCGAGTGCTCCTTACTCCTCGGTAAAATCCTCCAAATGTGGTTCCTGACAGAGGCCTGAGAGGCATTGTTCATTCCTGACTCTAGGCACCAGCAGGAGACCAGTCCCTGTGCTCCTCGGTCCCAGTTTGTTCATATGGCACTAACACTTTGGTATAGAAAGTGATGTATACAAAGAAACATATAAGTATTATGTCAAATATCCATCAGTGCTAAACAGAAGTCACATAATAATTTCTGAGCTTGGAGCAGTTTTGAAAAAGATCCTTGCTTTGTTATAATTATAGTGTGTTGCTTTTGTCATTGTCAGTCTTTTGGCTCCACACCGTATACAGTGGCTTGAAAAAGTATCTGAAGCTATAGCAATTTCTCAAAAGACATTGTTTGCATGCTCTCCTCATTAACAATATGACAACCTGTAAATGTTCAGGTGGTTTTAGTTTAAAAGCCTACGCTGTTTTTTCATTTGTGATTTTGAGAAAGAGCAGATCACATTTGATGGTGATTTTATGCAGAAATGTGAGAAATTCCAAAAGCTTCGGACTCTGATTCAGTTTGTTTGCCATTTGCAGTAAAAACCACTTTGGAATACATTTGCAGAAGTACCCAGTGTGCACCAAGTACATAAATAAAACGAAATAGTTTCACAGTAACAAGTCAAAGATCATTGAAGTGCTTTGTTCAGACTGTCATCAGTTTGTGGATGTCCTGCATCTCAGCAAACGAGGTCTTCTACCAGAGGGAAGAAGCTGGAACATGGCTTTTTCCTGCGGCTAGAAGAGTCAAAACATTTTATGGACCTCTAGAACAAATAGCTCACAGACCCCTTTCAGAACGGAGCACCTTGTAAATGGTCATGCGTAGGGTGATTAAACGGGAATTTATGGTAAATAATGGGAATAAACTGCAATTTTTCAAACATATCTTTCATAATTTAACTTATTACCACATTAGAGCTTCCTCATATGGCTATTTTTTCTGCCTCCCCTGTATGTTTTAAAGCTCATTCCACTTCCTGATTTTGTTCTTCCCTGAAACAAGTGATTGTTCAATAAAATCACTGTTGAAAACGTTTTGCATGGACGTTTTCTTCTGAATTATTTTAATATTTATGCTTCGATATGATGCAATCTATTAACATTACAATCAATTCCCAATTAGTTTCCAGTATGGAATAATCTCAAAATGTCCCAGCTTAACTTCCCATAGAAATTTACCATTGTAGATTTTATGTCATCACTGTTTCACATTAGCAGCCCTTGGTCTAAAGCAGTGCATTGAATTATAGTCACGGCTGAGAATGGCGACAGAATTAACGCGACGGGACCAGTGCAGAACCAGAGGGTAATGCACAACAGGACAGAAGCTCACAGTCAGAGCTATGGCTAAAGCGCTGCATGGCCCTAGCGCTTCATAAACACAGATCCTGGCTCATGAGAGTGTTGTAAAGTCACCGTCTCCCTCTGACCCTCCTCCTGCCACGTCTATAATCAAAACCCGAGGCTAACGTCGTGATCGGTTTCATCTCTGAGGCAAATGCAGAATGAATACTGTGTTGTTCTGGAACTGGACTAATGAGACGCCTCAAACTTTTCATTTGCTTTTTACAGTGCACACAAGCACAGCCTCAGTCCTCGTTCTACAGCCTGAGTCCTGATAGGTTTTTGAGTCGTTCCTTACTGATGCATTAGGGTCCAAAGACGGTGATGATCCGAGACATTGGTTCCTATGTGTTTGTTACTAT